CATTCATTCAGTTTCACCATAGCTTCTTGCAGCAAGTGTCTTCATTTTCCTACAGACCAGCTGGAAAATGTTGTGAACGAGATTTTTTCTGATGATAGCGGCGATGAAATAATAATTCCTGAATTGGATTAAGTTGATAGTGACAATAATACAGTGATAGGCAATGATCCACAAGACAGTAATCATGAACATTTACCTACCACGAGTGCGGTGCCTGACACGCCCATCTCATGAACGTACGGAGACATTGTACCCCCAATACTTCCATTTGCTAATAGTTTCGGGATCAAAATTGATATAACACATAAAATGCATCCCTTTTCATGGATTAAAATTTTTTCTGGATGACGACTTGGTAAATCACATCACAACTGAAACCAATCGCTATGCTCACCAGCACTTCAACACACATGAGTTAGCTCCTCACTCTCGAAAACACAATTACAATTATGTCACATCAGATTAAATCTGGACATACTTAGGAATTGTGTTCATGACAGGAATCGACAAACGCCCTGAAATTGAAGTATATTTGTCCACTAGGCCCATATTTCACACCCATGGTTTGGACAAAACATGTCTTTGCGGTTGAATAGTTTCATTCTATTCAAAAAGAACACAACAAACGAAAAATACAAGAAGAGAAATTACAGATTCAAAGATTTTATATTGGACTGTGTAGAAAAATGACTGAACCAAACAAACAGTGTGGAGAGGGAGAAAAGTCAAGGAATGAAGTGGATGACGAATCTATTGGGTCAGACTAGAGTGCAGTCATGCCTCCGCCCTCGACCTTGAAAAGACCACCAGTGAAAGAGCCAGCAAATCGTCTAGAGGGTGGCTTGAAAATTCACAAAATGGTCCATGTTCCTAACAGTAACCATAAGAAGAATGGTGCCCTGAGAAAGTGCCGCGTTGAGTGCTAATTACAAGGTTAGAAAAGAAACAAGTATCATGTGTGCAGGCTGTGGTGTGGCTCTCTGCAAACTTTCATGTTTCAATGTTTATCACACGAAGAAAAACAAATAAAGAGGTGTGGAAAAGCATTTATTGCATAAAATATTGTATTTTAATTAGTTCCTAAAAATTTCGTTTTTAAAAACCAATTTTTGTTGAAGTTGTTTAGGAAAAAGTAACAACATGCATTTCAGCGACATAAGGTTTAAAGGGCCTGCCAGGACAGGGGTGGGATTTAAATACCCTTCGCGCCAGTCAAAGAGTTAAGGAAGGAACATAGACTGAAGGTGTTTGAGAACAGGGGGTTGAGGAGAAAATTTGGACCAAAGAGATATGAAGTGACAGGAGAATGGAGAAAAATATATAATGAGGAGCTTCATAACTTGTGCTCTTCTCCAAGTATAATTAGAATGATCATGTCGAGGAGTATGAGGTGGACAGGGCATGTAGCACGAATGGGATGGAGAAGAGGAATGCATATAGGATATTGGTGGGAAAGCCAGAAGGGACCACTGGGAAGATCAAAGCATAGGTGGGTGGACAATATTAAAACGGATCTTAGAGAGATGGAATGGGATGGTAAGGATTGGATTGATCTGGCTCATGATAGGGACGAGTGGAGGGCTCTTGTGAACACGATAATGAACCTTAGGGTTTCATAAAATTCTGGGAAATTCTTGAGTAGCTGCAGATTTGGCTTCTCCTCAAGAAGGGCTCAGCTCCTTGAGTAAGTTGCATAGGCAGAATGGTAGGCACTCCACAGGATGTAAAGACACCTGAAAAAGCCATTGTAATACCTCATACAAGTCTTACATGTGATCACACAAAGACTAATGCATCTGTACCTGTAGCCTAGTTTGAGCATAATCTTTAGCAGGTTGTGAAGTCATCGGTTGAAGCGTCGGTATTACTACTGCAGTAGCTGGCTGCTGCTGTGCTCCATCTGTTGGTGTAGTGATACCAAACTTGGCTCGTCTCGCTATTTTATCTTGCTCAATTTGGTCCCTCACCCTTTGACGAGCCAGCTTCTCTTCCAACTTCTCCCGTTTGCGTTGCTCTACAAGTTTTTTCACTTCATCTTCCTCCAACCTGACATTACAAAATTCAAGCAGACTATAGGGAAATCACATGTAATAAAGTAAAGGAAATTAAGATCAGCAAACAAACTGGCTATCGTACGATTTGTGGGAACCTAGCTGGTAGCAGATACTTTATTTATACAGATTAGTCAACATTACTTTTTTCTAGCAGCCACCATCTCCTTTCCAGATCGTATCCGCAGTTTCTCTCTCTCTAGAGCTTCTTTCTTTTCTGTCACTTCTCGCTCCTGTCGCTTCTGTCTCATTTTCTCTTCAATTCTTTTCAGCTGCTCCCTTTTCTCCTCTTCTGTTAGAGGTTTCTTTTCTTCTGAGCTCTCAGAAAAACTGTTATGACCAGATTTTGCTGCATGAAATTCAATTTCTAGTTGTGATACAAATAAGCGAGAACACCTAAAAAAATCAAAGCCATAAATCAAACATCTTCACAATTCACAACATTTAATTTCATATATGAAAAACGTTTAGACATAGCAAAAAGTCGTGTTATACCCAGATATGCATGTTACAAACCGATTATTAAACATACAGCCATCAAATACCAACCATACTTCCAAGGCTTTTCATCCTTACAGAAGAAAGCTGGAACCTAGAATTTATTAATACGACTAGAAAAGAAACAATTCCAATGCCATGCCCATGTAAAAGGAATAGATATAATTAAGACAATGGGATAGGCACTAGAATTAAAATATAAAAGAACAAGACTTACTGGGTGACCTAGAACAAGATGGTTCAGCCATATACTAGGAGACATCAAGAAAACTGAATAGATCTCAAAAGGAATTACTGTGGGGGGGATAGGAGGATAGGATTAGAGACTTTTCATACATCAACCCACACAAGATGCAAATCATGCTAGAAGAAGATTATCAAACACAAAAGGTTAGAGTATATAATAGGGTTAACTACATCACTGTTATGGCATATGACCCCTGAGCGTTCATATACATTGCTAATTTTATAGGAAATAATCCTCCTTGAGAAGCTGAACAAGAAATACCCCCATAATCTCTACAGTAGATGCATATTAACTAAATTATTAACTAATACCACGCAATTTGAGCATCGTAGTTATAGAAAAGTCCCTGTCGTACTTTGTAACAGAGGAAGTGGTAATGAGAAAATCTGGAACAAAACTGCAGGCTTCTCTATTTATTGCAGAGATGCCAGAGGGCTGGTATCAATTTCTGTTGTGCAGTATGAGAACTAATACTTAAGCTCTATACACAAAAATAATATGGCTTCCTGCAAAACTTGTATATGCTTTATATCACATACTCATTGCATTTCAAGGATTTAGCCAGAGTGTTGACAGTTCCTTCTTCTGGCTCTTCTGTATCATTCTTTGTAATCTCACCACTGTCGCCGTCTTGATTGCCTTGTTCTGTGCTACCTTCCAACAGCTGGGTATTTGCATCTCCAGAAGCCGCGATAGGAACAGTTGGAAGTACTTCATCTGCATGTGCTAATAACCTTCAAGAAGTAATAATATTCTATTATGACCACTACCTACATGAATTATTAAAACGATTAGCAATTGAAAATAAGTTAAAACGACTAACCATTCCATTGCAGGTTCTACTCCCTGGTTTCCGGTAACTTCCAAAGCTCTTTCACTACAAAAGCAGATGCATTACAGAGCAACATGTTATTAATGAGTACGAACTGCAATATAGGTTAAAAACGACAAAAAATATATAGCAACTTATTCTCAATATTTTTTTTTAGAATAAGCTCTAACGAATATACGTACGCTTTATATCTTGGAAATCCCATTTCAATAAGCGTATTTACATCCTGGGATGACATATTTACAACACAACTTTTCCACAATATGTACCTATCACGCTTACGTACCGGCAATATCACTGGTCACTGGTTAATCAACAACAGTGGGGAATATAACTACGTGAACTACGTGAAATTCCAAGATGACTGTTCAATCACCTCTGCCATCTTTCGACTGCGGTTCCGTTTACTAACCTGTAAAGAGTCACCGAATGATATTTATTCTCTCTATAGATGCCTCTGGCAACAAATATGAAAGGAAAAGCAAACTTCAAAGACGTGCTGAAAAAATATTTCAAATTCGCGATTATAATCACTTACATCATGTGTAATGTATAAATTCTTCATAAAATATGCCACATACCATTCGATATTTCCTTAAAGTAATTTTAGTACAATATCTAAGATCATGTATGCCATAATGAACATTCATATGCATTCTTGAATATCATGTTATCGCCTAATATTTTGAAAGGAATAATGTCTGAATTATATCTTAGAAAATTCGGCAGAGGTTTTGGTAGAGAGCCTCAGCTGCTAATTGAAATAAGATAGGTACTGTGAGCGATATTTTGCTCCCAAATTTAAGGAGCAAGGTATCATGAGGATGATGAGTGATACTTTGATTGATTGCTACCGGCTGTTAAATCAACTTTTTTTTTTTTTTGCTAGTGGGTTGGAACCGGTGGGACAAAGTCCCTTGTACTGCGACCACTGCTGGCCTATTGTACCAGCCCCAGATGATAGTTGAGGGTGATTGTGGATCAATTGGTGAAATGAAGATTGGCAGGGGGAACCGAAGTACTCGGAGAAAGCCTGCCTCAGCGCCACTTTGTCCACCACAAATTCCACTTGACCTGACCCGGGATCGAACCCGGGCCGCCGCAATGGGAAGCCAGCGGCTAACCGCTTGCGCTATGGCGCGGCCAAGAAGGTTAGTTACTAGCAAAAATCTACTGATCTAGGCCTCCGCCATTCTGAATTCACAGAAAAACAGCGAATACGTATTTTACCCTCCCGATCTCTTGTACTGCAGCGGTTCTTACTCTGTTTTTAGAAATGCATCTAATATTACTTCACTCATCTGTCAATGAGGAAGTTTTTCTTCGGCAATGTACATTTCATTTACATGAATCAAAGATACCCTTAATATTAAATTGCAGCACCCTGTTCACTATATACACTTTTNCCCCCCCCCCCGTCTGTACGCAACCGAGTACGCTACCGAGTGCCCCTCATCTATCATATTACAGGGTGACTACAATGAAACTCCCTGATTTTATCTTCGGTCTAATTATTGCCAAATATCAGCCACACAACAAACAAAGTTTAATTTTAAAAATCAATACACTTGTACGTGAGCCCCGCTGGTGATACGTATGACAGATATCGAATTTGTAAACAAGTTACGCCCACGTGCGGAGTGATGGTACCTACAATATCCACAATCCGGGCCCGGAGGTCTCCAAGATCTCGCATTTTAATGATGTAAATTCTGTCTGCACGTAGCCCCACAAAAAGAAATCAAAGGAGGGAAGTCAGGAAAGCATGGAGGTCAATCCTTTGGATCATCTCGTCCTATTCAACGGCCTGGAAATGTTGCATTCAGAGCTCGTCGCACGTCTAGCGACCACAGGAGTGGAGCTGCGTCTTGTTGAGAAACGCACTTGGCTGCAGGTGTTCCAACTGAGGAAAGGCGTAGAGATGCAGCATGTCCAGGTATGAGCTACCTGAGACAATCTTCTCCACAAAGAGAAACGGTCCGATGATCATGTTGCACATTACGCCACACCAGACTTTAATTCCGTCTGTCTGGCGCATGCTCCATGACGCTCTGATCCCCATATCCGAACGTTATGATTGTTTACAGCACCTGAGACATGAAAAATGGCCTCGTCGGAGAACCGCTTTCGGAGAACCTTATACACAGTTGCTCGTGGAACTTGCAGTGAAGCCCGGTCAATTGACTTCCTTGGACTTCGGATGAACGCCATGTGGACTTTCTCTACCTTTTCATCGGAGACACGTCTGCCACCTTCGTGCCCTTTGAAGACGTTCCCAGTATCCAGAAACTTTTGCCAGGCTTTGATCCTCTTTGCGTCTGGTGCTGCTTCTGATAAACACGGCGAAACTTCCTTTGCATCATCACAATGGACTTAAACTCAGAAAACCACACAACAACTCGCGCCTTCTCCTGAGCTGACGCCATCTTTGCGTGAAATGACAACAGCGCCCCAGTGGTGGCCCGTGAGGTAGCGTAAAAATTTAGGAGGGAATTTGAACTCCTGCAGTTGTCAAGAGACCCTTAACACATATAAAAATACCATTTGCCAATTTTTAAAACATCTTCAAATTTAGGGCGTTTCATTGTAGACACCGTACAGACATCAGTCATTTTGTTAGTGGACATTTTATTCCGTACATTACCATATGAATATCGATTTCAACATTTCATCGCTTTTGGTAAAATCAATAAAAGTGTAAAATAGGTTGAATGCGTCTATGTGACGTTCATTCTTTCTCAAAAGTCCTTGCTATGCTTCTCACTCTAACTTGTTGAAAGCATTTGTCTGTTTTGGTAGATTCGATAACCAACACGAGAATGTTTTAAAATTACGGCCGTGTGGGCTCACTTGTATACGAAGTTCTACCTCTTACATGTCAACATAAAGTTTCTAAAACTGTAGTTGAAAACCATGAGCTTACGTGCATTTCTTCGTGAAATTCGTAATAATTCATAATGTGGTCTTTTGGATTACGATACCGTGTAGCCTCGTAGATGACGTCCAAAGTTCCAGCTGAACACATTATTTCTTCCTCCTGAAAAATAAAAACATTGTCACCTAAAATACGACGGTATGAATCGTCGACCGTTGACTTTCAACGGACTGCCCGACGTTATATCCCAGATGGTAGGACTCTTCAAGGCCATAGATATAAGAAGCACAAATCTGGCATACAAGTCACTACTTCTGTGTGCTTAAATAAGAAACACACCATGAAAACGTATTGAGAAGTGGAGGCATTGCTCCACGTATTGCTAGACTTGGCATTAGATGTAGGTAAGTTTTCAGCTCCATGTCCCCGTTGCCGGTGCCCCGGCAGGACGGTGTGAAGAAAATAATCTCTTGCTGTAGAGAATCGAACGTAGATCCGTCGTTCATCCATTCTTTAGCCTAGTCATGGCACCGAACAATCATGTAGCAGATAAGAATAACTCAGTAATGAAGATGCTATGTTAATATTACTTCAAGTGAGAGGTTTGTATCACGTGATGCAGGGCGCAGGGGAACACTCACGCCCGGGCTCCGAGAAGCAGCTTCCGTATCCCAAATTTAACTTAAAAAATATCAATTTTATCAACCAGAAAGATCGCGGGTTCGATTCCCGATGAGGCTATTGGATTTTTCAGTTGACCTACTTCTTCCAGCCGCAGTATGGCCCTGGGGTCGATTCAGCCTCTAACAGAAATGAGTACCAGGAATATTCCTGGGGGGTAAAGGGCGGCTGACAATCCCACCGCCATCTGTGAGTCGATTTTCTCGAAAATGTGGGAGCTTCAACGTCTTACAAACTTATGGGCCTCCATGGCGTGCTGCAGGGATGCGCTTCAGTTTAGTATTGAAGAGGGGACAAAATTCGTAAACTACACCGGGCTCATGGAAAATTCGCTATGCTACGGCCTCCACGCTCTCGCTCTCTCTCTCTCTCTCACACACACACACTAATAGAAATTCTAAGTCAACAATTCTACGTATTTGTGTCCTATATATGTATTTAATTTATTCTTGTATAGATTTCCATAGTGTGATAGATATCAAAGGCAACCAGGGAGTTTTGTCTAGTCGTCATTTTTATAAATTTCAATTTGTATGTCAGGCATAAGGGGGAGGGGACAGAAAGGACGGGGCAAGCCAGACATCTACCGCTCCCCCCCCCCAGATCTTTTAAAATAAATAAAAGTTGATAAAGAAGGACGTTACCAAATGTCAATTCTAAGTATAAACATTATTAAAAACATTTTCTATTGCAAATACTCTAATCAGTAAAATTAGTAGTAAACACTGTAAACACAAGTTTGTAAGCAAATTTTTGGGCTTCTCCCACCACTCCGAAGGATTATTACCCCCTCTTTAAAAAAAATCCAGGCCGCTTCCATGATTTTATGTATATTTACGATCAGCATCAATACCAAATTTTATTTGTCTATGACGAAAGCAGTCTTCTGGGACATGTCTAGCTTACATAACTCGTTGCTTATTGCTGTCATACAGAAATGTAACGATGCTTGCTGGGAACTAAAAACTACTGCGGCCAGGTTTGCGAAGATAAATATTCTCTTTTTTAGGAATAACACACAAGAAGGACTACATAACCGTACATACTCCAGCTGCTGGCTAGGCTTGTCCTGTTAGCAACAGTTGATTTTTACCCAGACTTTGTTTTGCTCTCACTTAAGGAGGATCTAGACAAAGTTGTACAAGTATAATGGATCGGGGGTGAAGAGGCTCTCAGACGTCAGGGCAAGTTTATTAAACAAACCGAACACAAGCTGAACTTCACACAGTTTAACATACTTGACATACATGCTCATATACACGTGCGCCTGCACTGACTTATACATACTTGTAATTTACCATATAACTACACATCCCATTAACAGGCTACTATATAGTTAGCCAATCCATTACCAGAATAGGTGAATATGTTCTCATTAACAAGCTACCAGCTAGGTATCTGCCTCGTTAACAAACTACGAGCTAGCTACCTGCCTCAATAAGAAACTGCGAGCTAGCTACCAGTCTTATTAAAAAGCTATGAGCTAGTTACCCATCTCGGTAACAAACCACGAGCTACCAATCCCGCATTAACAAACTACTAGCTACCTACCAGTCTCACAAAAATTGTGATTAGCTACCCGTCTCGTTAACAAAGTACGAGTTAGCTATCTTCCTCATTAACAACCTACGATCTAGATACTCATGACATTAATGATCTGTGGACTAGATACCTATCTCATTAATAAACTGTGAACTAGCTACTTGTCTCATTAACAAATTATGAGGTAGCTACTTATCTAATTTTAATTACTGCTACCCCCGTCTAAAGCGTATTCTAATTTTAATAAATTGGGATGTTAATTAATTAATTTTAATCAAGGTAAATTTATTTTAATTTGTAAATATCGCGTTCACATATGATAAGTAATTCTGACATAGAGTGCAACAATTTTAGCAAGATAGAAGACACCTGACGATGGCCGTATACGGCCGAAACATGTAGTCAGAAAGGAAGGTCACTATATAACAAGTTGCTTTTAAGATGGAAATGTATGTGAAATTAATTATATATTTATGCAACAGGATGCTTATATGCAAAATTACGACAGCTGTATTAAATTATTTATTTGCCAAAAAAAAAATTCCCACTTCTGCCAGGAATCAAAGTCCGGTAGTCTATTCTGTAACCAGTCATTGTAAATCTACCGTCTTATCTATCAGTTGAGATAGAGTCATTAAATAGACAAAGAATTAAACTAAACCGGTCGGATAGTGAAACTAACCTGTTAACACTAATTTCAACTTTAAGAATACATGGAAATTTACCTCCAAGTCTTCATATTACGGCGGGTTTATCTCGTGTTTTCAACTTGGAGCCAGGGAGCGTTTTGTGTAAAGTTGTAATGACGGCATGTTAAATCTGACACAATTCTGTCACCACTTCTCCTTCTTTGCTTCGTGCAAAAATCGTCTTACTCACCAGAGTCGACCACGATAGACGTCAGTTTGTTAAAAACTTCCCTCTTCTGCGTGGTTTGTTTAAAATAGTGGGCAAGTTCAATTGAATGCAAACTTGTATGGGTTTAATTTGGCGCGCAAGAAATGACACTTGATCCGAATCGATTAGGCCATTAGTGTCAGCATGAAGTGATTGAGGGCCCTTTCGCCTCTCTTACGGCACCCGCTCCGGTCAGACCTCCAGTTCGTAGTCTGACCGTGGCAACACAATTCATTTGGCAGAGATGTCGTTGGTTTACTATGTTTACTGAACTACTATTTAAGTAGCACAGATCAAATGGCATCGAAAGAGAAGGAACGTTTAACGAAATGGCAAAGACGTAAGACGTCGTGGCCTAATCTCAAATATTATCCTAGAATTTTTCTGGAGAAAATAAGGAAAATGAAAATTCTACAGGATAACTAGTCTGCGAGCAGAGATTTGAACTCGGGACCTCCTAAATATGAAGCAGGTAAGATTCCCATTTAATAGTGATGTTCATTCTTCGATTTTGAATTTTATTTAAATATTATAAAGAGTTTATTTACGCCATCGAGCGAGCTTAATTCCTGTAGTGAATAATATATCTCCACATATCTCGGTCACATGACAACAATCAGGAGGAATTTACGTCAAGATGTACCAGGAAATATCTGTGGTCTGACAATAAAGTTCGCGAACTCATCACAGTAAAATTGCTACATACCTCATTGCTATATATTACTGTGGTCTCCTTCAAAGTACTCCCCTCGGGAAACTATGCACCCATGCCAGCGCCTAGTCCACCCTTCAGAACAATTTTGGAACTTGTTTTGTGGAATGGCCTTCAGAGCTGATACCATCAAACAAACAAACAAATTCCGTGGTTTTAGTCCACAAGCGAACTATACCGACCGAGCAACCGCCGTTTGCCGACGAAGTTAGTGCCAACTTTAGCGGATAGAGGGTGTCGCGTGGTCAGCGCAACGAATCCCCACGGTCATTAATTTCGGGTTTCTAGACCGGATGTCATCAAAATGCCTTCCTTTCAGTATTTATTTTATCTTATGGAACAGAAAGAAGTCACTGGAGGCTAGATCCAGTGAATTGGGACGGGTTTCCAGCACAGTTATTTGTTTACTAGCTAAAATCTCCTTCACAGACAGTGTTCTTTGGTGAGCTCCTTTGGGACCATTTTTGCACACACCTTCCTCATGTCAAGATCTTCAGTTGAGATTTTCCTATTTTTCTGTCGATGTTCGCTTGATCTGCTTTGCTCCTGACAGTCAGCCGATGATTTTCACACACAATTTGACGAACTTTTGCAATGTTTTCTGCATTTCTGCTCATTGCTGGTTGTTCTGATCTCTCTTCGTCAGTGACACTTTCTCTTCCCTCAGATAAACATGTCACCCACTTGTAAACTTCTGTTTTCTTCATAACATAAACTTGCACTAACATCTCTCTGTTTTCGCCTCCACTCTTACAAAGTTTCACAAGAAATTTAATGTTCGTTCTGACATTTTCGCGACGGCATTCTCGAGACTGCCACAGGTCAACAACAACACAGCTGTGAAACGCTGATATGCCAGCGTCATCAAACCACACGGAGGTTTCTGTCCACTGCTGGCGCGACAAACACACGGTAGCGAGTTCGCGAACTTTATTGTCAGACCTCGTATTACAGTTATAAGTGGAAAAAAAAATGATGGTCGATTCGGTTGTCAAGAAGGAGACTTGAAAACAATTTATTGTATGGGAAGTAAATTTGTTTGCCACGAAGTATGTTCGTTTTGGTTCAAATCGGATCGAATTTTAACTCAGAAGCAGAGGAGCCTGAAGATGTTCAGGAACACCATAAGTTACTTACTGTGTTTTCCAGTTCATATATTGCTTCAATGTTGTGTTATATTTATATTCTTCTCAGTGAGAAAGAAGAGGTTAAAAGAAGAAACTGTGATAAATTTGGAAATAAAGGAATGAAATGAATTACTGATGGAATGAGTTTTTTTTTTCTGTGGCGCTACAGCACCAATTTGGGCCTAGGCCTACCTGCATGAAAC